GGATAACGGTTGGGGTAGGGGCGGGGGTCTCGGTCCTATTTTTGTAGTCAGGAAAGAGGACTTTCGCCAACTTGCCGAGTCTCTCAGCAGCACACACCCAAACAACCACAGGCTGGGAGAGTGGAGAAAACTTCCAGCCCCAAGACCAGCGGGGGAAATGCAGTTCTGGTTTCCTACTTCACGCTAACCTTGTCACTTTTTATAAAAGGGAGTTCATCCTCCAAGTGCCTTCAATGGATTCTACCCCTTTCCTTTGATCAGCTGATTCCTGAATGCTTTTCAAATCTCAGATCCAAAGTTCTCCAGGAGGCGTCCGTGCCATCGAGAGAAACCTGCCCCCGGTCTCTTCACACAGCGTCACCCCTGTTTGCTGGACGCTCATCACAAGTTGTGGCGTCCCCATTTACTGTTAGTCACTCCCTGGTGGAATGTAAGAGCCACAAAACCAGAAAGTGCCTAGCCCAGGTGCTGCGCTGTCCTTAGCACAAAGCACAGTGCTTGGCATAGAGGAGATGCAGTAAATGCTTGTTGAATAATCAGTTAATCCAATTTAATAGGCATGCTTGTACGGTCCTGTACTTGGGTTTGAAAAGCACCGACACAGAAATAGAGCAGGGAAGTTGGGAGTACCAGTGACAGATATGAAGGACAAGGTGGCTTAGTTGACTAAATGCCAATCAATAGGGTGGGGTAGTTTGGGGGGTCTTTTCCAGAAAATCTACTTCTTTCTTATGCTACAGTGATTTAAGTAAAATCCCCAGTGTCCAGTATCGGACATTCAGTGAGCATCCATGAACACCCACCAAGAGGCAGACCCTGCCTGCGGTGTCGGGAATGCAACAGTCAAATGGGGCAAGGTCCTGAGGCTGGAAGGTGTAAACTGAAGAGAGGAGAAGCCCCAGAGGTGGGTGGGGGCGAGATCAGGCGTGGCCTGGGTGGCCGTGGCAGGGATGGGAAGGAGGTGACTCCAATTTCTCTGCAGTGATCGGTCCACACAAGGGTTTGCCTTTCAGCTCCAGGGGAGAACAAGAGAGGGAGAACACACAGGGGCTGAGTCTGTGTGACAGTCCCCACCACTGTCATCAGGGGATTCAGGTTCCTGTCATGCAGTGGGAGTGGAGCAGCTCTAGGAACTGAGGATATTCAGTTTGGAGAAGTGGGGATGGCAGGTGGGCGCTTTCTTCATATGTTATATGGAAGAACTGTTATATGGAAGAGGGATGGACCTGGTTTGCTTTAAAATTCTGTGTGGTCCCAGAGCTTGAGCTGATAAGGGATAGCTCCCAGGAGGCAGACCTGGGCTTCACCCAGAGAAACCTGAGAGCTGAGAGGGAAGCCCCCCAAGACTCACAAAGGCTGTAGTCAGGGTGAGGGGAAACCCTGTCCTGGGGTTGAGGATAGGCAGTAGGTAAAGACAGAATAGAAACATTAGCTACATGTATTTTTCTTTTTCTTGAGACAGATCTCACTCTGTTGCCCTGGGTAGAGTGCTGTGACATCATAGCTTACAGCAATCTCAAACTCTTGGGTATGAGTAATCCCCTTGCCTCAGACTCCTGAGGACCTGGAACTATAGGTCTGCTCCACAGCGCGGCTAGCTTTTCTATTTTTTTTTAGAGACAGAGTCTCACTTTATCACCCTCGGAAGAGTGCCATGGAATCACAGTTCACAGCAACCTCCAACTTCTGGGCTTAGGCAATTCTCTTGCCTTAGTCTCCCGAGTAGCTGGGACTACAGGCACCTGCCACAACGCCCGGCTATTTTTTCTCTTGCAGTTTGGCTGGGGCTGGGTTTGAACCCACCACCCTTGGTATATGGGGCCAGCACCCTATTCACTGAGCCACAGGCACCACCCACTAGTTTTTCTATTTTTAGTAGAGACGAGGGTCTTGCTCTTGCTCAGGCTGGTCTCGAACTTGTGAGCTCAGGCGATCCACCTGCCCCGGCCTCCCAGAGTGCTGGGATTACAGGACTAAGCTACGGAGCCCGGCCTTAGCTACATTTTTGCCAATGATCAATGAGAGTTACTCCCTTGGTTGGCAGACGGGTTGTAGCCTACTGGGCATAGATGCTGTGGAAACTCTTCCCTTCACTTAGGTCACATGTGCTCCCCAACAGAAGTCTGGCTCTGAGCAGATAAAGGAACTAATACGAGTGCCATTTCTGTTTGGCTGTGGGGGGAAGGCGTGATTCTCACCAGAGTCCAGGCGTCCTCAAACTGTGGCCGGTGGGCCACATGCAGCCCGCTGAGGACATTTATCTGGCCTGCTGGGTGTTTTTGCCACCGCTGCCTGTCCTGCTTAGCAGCCGACTAGTCTGAGGGCCCGCAGTCCGGCCCTCCAACAGTCTGAGGGACAGTGAACTGGTCCCCTGTTTAAAAAGTTTGAGGACCCCTGCTCTAACAGCAGGAAGCCAGCCCTGCCTCAGATCTGCAGTGTTAACTGTGAGGCGGGGGCAGCTGCATGTCTCTCTCTCAGGGTCTAAGAAAGGGAGATCCGCCTGGGCAGGTGTCACTCCAGTAAACACCCAGGTAATCCACCCGCTTCAGTCACAGGAGATGAAGGGCATGCTGATCAGTAACGCCCCTCTATTTTTCCCTGCCGTCTTTGGAATCTTCCTAGGGCCTGTTAACTCTTCAGGGGAGCTTTCTGCACAAAGGGCTGGCAACATTCAAGGCTGATCCTAAGCCCCCAGTTCTTGGAGACGCTTTCTCTGCAGTTGACTGAGCACAGAGTCAGATTGCAGCAAAGCCACTGTAGATTCTG